GGATTATTTTCTTTTCTCCTGAACACTGGTAGGAAAGGCACTATTGCAGCCTGGACCAATGGCACTGGATTTTACGTTTTATCACCTCAGTGATCTTATCCATGGTGGATGACAGTCCCGTCCTTCCTGCAGAGAGCTGTGTGAACACTTGTGGGAGGAGCCTTTGGAATTTGGTGCAAGTGGCAGCAGTGTCCCTCTCTACTGTTGTGTGGCAGCTCTTGAAGATCAGAAAACTGTTTAATTGGTTATTCTTTTGATAACCAGGGTGTGTGTGCTTGCTGAGCAGCAGTAATATTTGGCAGTATTAGCGGAGCCTTTCCATTATTTCAGGCCTGAGGACTACTTTTCTAAATTACCATTTTATAAAAGGTATTTACTCCAAATTCATGCTGCTTCACAGCTTTTCTGTGCTGTGAATGCAACAGCAGAATCGGAACCAGCCACAGGTCTTAAGTGAAAGGTTTGCCTTTTCCAAGGCAAGGGAAATCGCTTTTCGTTTCAATCTTAGTAAAGTTTTAGATATGTTTTCCCTCATGATTTGGGATGAAACACCAACAAAAATCCTGTTTGGCGAGCTCCTATAGTAAGTGCAAAAATAGAGCCGTTAACATGATACATGGTAGCATTGATAGCAACAACCATTTCCTTTTTGTGTAATGTTACAAGAAACCCAACACTGACAATGTTTTGAATGAACTGACACTTTTTTGCACTTCATTACACTTTTTATGTATGAGGTCATTAACTTTTTTGCTTCAAGGCAGAAAAATGTTATTTCCTGAGGTGACAGTGAACATTATCAAGTTCTCTACAGTTTTGCCAGAGCTGGTAAGGAGCCCAGATCACTAATATCAGAAATCTTGGCTTTTTAACCACGCTCACTGGATTGGAGCACAAAAACATGCTGATTGTGCTCTTTTAACCATTGGCAACATCCTTCCAGAGTCGGATGTGAAAAACAGGATCTTTCATGGGGAGGAGAACAGTTGGGGGTTGTCACTTAACTTCGTCTCTGGTAGCAGTAATCTGTGTTTATTAGTTCAGAATTTCTGGTTTCCAGAGCTGCTGCTGACTGGTGTATTGAGCCAGTGTAAGTTTGTGTGAGAGAAGCTGTGTGCAGCTGGGCTGGAACAAGCCTTGGAGAAGGTGGCGACTTGATTTCATGCTGTGGAGACTCAGCAGGCTTAAAGCTCCTTCACTTCATGTTTCTCAGTTGGACTTTGTGGGAGGAAGCTTATGCTAAGATAATTGCACTGTGATGGTTGAATACAATTTTTGCTTCCTCGTGGATCATACAATAAATAACTTCTTTGTATTTTTGTATTTTGGTATCTGTATTATCTGTTTCAGTAAAATTTATGTTGAATTGTGAAGAGAAGCTAATTAGTTGTTTAGCAGCACAATTAAAAAGTACCTTGAATATGTATGGGGAAGTTCAGGAACCTATTGGGGCTACTTTACCATGTGCCTGAATGTAATATTTAAACCTATTGTACCCAGTCCAGCCATTATCATACAGTGTTCTCTAAGCTCTACCATTAAAAATAAATATTAAACTATACTACTCAGTTCTTACACAGTGGAACAAAACCAATTTAAAGCTTCTGGGCCATTCTGCGACATCAAGATGACCCCAGCTGTCTGGAACACTCGTTTAGTGACTTTATATGTTGCATGACTATATTGTTGTGTTTGCTTCGTTCTTTTATAAACAGACGTTTGGTTCCTCATGAATATCTTATGTTATTTTCTGACAAAAATCAGGACTTTTCTCTCGTCAGTTTGTTAATCGAGTCTCACATCAAAGCTGCTCAATATCAGTTACTGAAGACACAATACAGTGCGTTGGCAAATATGTTGGAACAATTTCCAATCATTTTGGCTAAGTCTTGGAGTAAGTGGAAAGTAATAAGATATTAACTCAAAAGGCTGCACATCCTTTAGATGATCTGGAAAACAAGACCTAACACCAGAAGTTAATTGCAGTGAACATCCAATAGCAAAACTTGAAATTCATTATTCTTTTTTCTTCTCACTGTAGTAAGAAAACTTACATTCTATATTTATTAGCCTCAACTGCAAAACCTCTGCTTTTATTCTAAATAAGCAATATATCACAGCAAATTTATATAAAACTCTCTTCATGTTACACAAATATTAGTTGGTCTCATGAACTGGCAGTTTTTTCTCTAAACTAATGGAGTTAATAAAATTTCAGTCTCTATAATCGTATCTTGGAAATAGCTCAGTGAGGGGGGTGAGTTATTTACATGAATTGGAGACATATCGGATTTTAGCTGTAGAGATTCTCAAGGGTGGAGTCAGCACTTGTTTATGGAGTTTGGCTTTCCTGTGTCCCTACGGAGCAATTCCCAGTAGTCACCTCCTTCCCTGTTTTCCCTTGAGCCGGAGCCCGTTATCATGTCTCACTCGGCAGGCTGTGAGAAAGCTGAGGCTGCGCTGTCTCGCGTAGGCTGCGCCTGGCCGTGTGAACAGATTACAGCATTCCACTTGTTCCTACGAGCCACGGAGCCGGAATGGTTCACTGTTATGTTACTGGGCAATGATAAAGTTGGCAGTCTTTTTATGGCTAGGTCCTCAAAGTGGCAGTTCATGTTTTAGTGATAAGGAGACAGAGCTTTGGCTATCGGACCCAGGCTTACTATCTGTAACAGTGAACCGTGGCTTAAATCCTTCCACAATGACAGGAACCCCATCTGGAGTGACGGTTTCCAGAATCTAAACGGGAGATACTGAGGCATTTTCCTTCCTCATGAGTCAAAGCGGAGTTAACCCCATTGTTATCATAAATAAAAAAACCCCACAGCCATGAAGAGGAAGGAGGCTTTTTTTGTATTTAACTACATCTCTTCCTCTATATTGGAACCTTCATTATAATTTTCAGGCAGATCCAGGAGTATGAATTAGTGGCATTACACTTAAAAGCTTTCACTTGGTTGTTCTAAGAATATTGAAAGGAGCACTAATGAAACCCCATGCTGCAGTACTTAACATTAGTTTAACATGTTTGTCAGAGGAGGTGAACTAGATACTAGTGTGTGTATTTCTCGCAAGATCTTTCTTAATAGTATCTAAATACAGCTTCTAATCATGCCCCGGGCACTGCATATGCATGTTGAAGCTGAGTACCATGTGAAGACACATTTGGATTCTATTTAGAGAGTTCTATGGGTTGCAGGGGTTAAGTGTAATCCAGATTATACAGTGTTAACATTTTCCCTGCTGATATCAAAGTGTAGAAGACTGGCAGGCTGACTTGTTAGGAAGGGCTGGGAGAGGGATAACAGGCTCCGACCTTGAGAGCCCGAAGAGCCGGCCCTTGTATGGGCACATCCATATACGTGTCCAGCTGATTGGGTAGAGGAGCGGGATGGGGGCTGTGACAGGTGCTGGAGGAACCTACACCTGTTTTCCCCATATGCTGATTTAGTGATTGCATTTTTGTGGGAGTTCCAGATACTGTGTGGGATCCGCAGAGCAAGCCAAGAAACTTGAGAAGGAATTTCAGCTTATGGTGACCCGTGATATTCAAGCATTTCGGATGGCGTAACTGGATTTTCAAGTGCTGCTTGAAAACTGAAGTAGAAATAGGGATAATCTTGTATATGTGCGTATAGCGAGAAAGCCTTGTGTACTTCTTATTGTACTGAAAATTAAGAGGTAGCAGTCAGAAAACGCTGATGAACACCACAGTCTAAACTAAAACAGTGGGGGGTTTTAATCAGAAATTCAGTGTATTCTGGAAACATACCTTTTACAGGAAAACAAATGCACTTTCTTTATGGTGCCGAGATATCAGCTTGCAGATTTTAAATCGTCAGGGGTTTTAGTGCGAAATTCATAGAATATAGATAATTTCTCACAAAGAAAAGACAGAAACCCCCTCATGCCTGCATAGTCCTACTGCTGCTTTATGTACACTAATGTATACCTGTTTAGAAATTGATACTGCTTTCCTTGTGAAACTTTTTAAAACATTAAATATTTTTCCATAGGTAATGTTCTATATATTGTATTGTTATAGATGAAAACTTGCAAAGAAAGATTTCTGATTGTGTAATAGGGTAAAAAACAGCGAGGAATACAGATATGCTTTAAAATCTGATCATGAGACCCGTAGCTTCACATAGAATCATTTCAGTTGGTAAAAACCCATGAAGATCATTGAGTCCACCCGTTAACCAGACGCTGCCAAGTCCGCCACTGAACTTCAGTGGCTGATTTGTAATGCCTAGATTGTAGCAAAGTTTGGTTTTTTCCAGGGGCTGTTGATGCAAGTTCTCCATCAGAAAACAGGAAATAGCTCAAAAAAGCAATTGCATCAAGTTAGGCTAAAGGAGTCTGAAAAAACTTATATTTAGCAAACTAAGTCATTGTAGAGAGGGATTATGTAATTTCTTTTTATACTTTTTTTGCAGTTCTTGTTATCATGCAGGATGACAGAAATGCAGGGAAGTCCTGCCTTTGTAACAAGTGTTATATATCTGAATGTACTGCAGTTGTTGAACTTGATTGCAAATTTTAGCCACTGTGTTTCTCAGAGCTTAACTGTTTGCTCTTTAAAATGTAGATATTGGGGTGCTGAAATCAATACATTAAAAATCCAGTAAACTGGCTTTTAATTACCAGTGATGCCGTTAACTCTTTTGCCATAGGCTTGAATGTTTCTTGTATGTCAGGCAACATCACTCCATCAGCCAGTAGCCAAAACCAGTTTTACATGGAATGCTGGAAAGATGAAGTGGTTGTAGGTTAAAGTTACCCATGAGATGGCACCTGGGAGAGTCTGTGCCTCTAAATGAACCTTTTCTCTTTGTGTACTATGCCTTTATTTTGAAAGACTAAGCCTGTCTGTTGAACAGTGAGTTTTGTCTGTGAAAGTTTCATGTAGTTTCAGTGGCTCTGAATGATTCAGTAGTATACAAAACTTCTTGGCAAGTTAGTATGATTTGTATGTGAATTTTCCAATTGTATTTCAGACCTTAAGAAAGAAAGGCCTTAATGGTTGTGAGAGCCCTGATGCTGACGATTACTTTGAGCACAGTCCACTATCGGAGGACAGATTCAGCAAACTAAATGAAGATAGTGATTTTATTTTCAAGCGAGGCCCTGTAAGTACTTTTATTTTATCTCTACTTTTTATTTGTTGATCCTTTTTATTAACTTCATTATTTAGGCTCTGAACAAGAAGGAACACAGAGGGTGCGACAGCCCGGACCCTGACACTTCATATGTGCTCACGCCACATACAGAAGAAAAATATAAAAAAATTAATGAAGAGTTTGATAATATGATGCGGAATCATAAAATCGCAGTGAGTACTAAAGTATGGTTTGTGCTTCTATTACATGCATGAGAATTTTCATGGTGTTTGCTTACCACTGAAAACCACTGCAAAGACAAGAGGGTGTAACGGTGTGAGAAGGGAGTATATGTTTTTGAGGCAAAATGAGATGCTGATACTTGTTAAAATGTATTTTATCTTCCTAAGAAGATTTATCTGTAGCTTCTCTTTTTCACTCACAGTTTTTCATACCTTGTGAACATGAGGTAACATTTCTAAATTTCAGGAGCTTAGCTGCTTTGCTAATCCTACCCAAAATATTCTTATAAAGATAGATTTTGTCGTGGGATGTAGGATAGTTTATTTACATCTTGTAGCTCTTTATCTGTCTGTTGATCAAGATTTTACAGTATGTTACAAATAGGCAGATAGATTAGCATTAATTTGGTCATCAAATCAGTGGCATTTGTTGTGCTGAAGAAAGGTATGTAGAAGTTTAAAGATAATGGGAGCCTTAAAAGATGGGTGTCTTGCTCCTGTTGACATTCTGACAAATACTCCTTGGCCACTGAAAGATCATGGAAAATTTTGTCCCAGGTTTCAACCAATTTACACGGTGTGACAACCCAAGTAGTAGGTCACTTCGCTCCAGAACTCAAGAAGCTTGGGAATAACTGCAGTGTAAATTTTACATGTTTTTCATGGACGTGTGTGATGATACTTATTTTCCATCTACAAATCCCGATTAGCGTTGAGTATTACAGGGGAAGTATTTTCTAAGAAAACTAATACAGGGCTCTGCCACAGCCTTTGAATTTTTTAACATTGCAAATCTTGTAGCAATTAAAGTAAATGGACTGACTAGGTTAATCAGCACAGACCCTGGGGCACTTGGAATAGCATGTCCCCAAATGACTGGCTGGTACTAGAAATTATTTCATTGTTCAGAGCAATAAGGCCATCTCTCGGACTGTCAGCAAACTGACAGTCTTGACACCCAGCATCACTTCTTTTAGCAAGTTCTTTATACTTGAATGAAACCAGTATCTTTGCTCTTGCTTTATTTTGAAGCTTTTGATGTCCAACATTTTGGTGTTGAGACATCTTCAGGCCTCATCTCTCAGTATGTTACAGCTAAACTGCTCTTCCTTGATTTTCTGTGGTCTTCATGAACAATTTAAATTGTCTGTACAGACATCAGGGTAAATAAAAAAGGCAACGTTTATTTTTTGGTTCTGTATTTATAGCTTAATTTGGGCCTGTTATAGTTCTGTTTCCAGTACTTATGGGTCTGTATAAAAACATAGTTTCTTTTGTTCTAGTGCACTCATTACTGTCAAAGGATAGGAATGAGGCAAAGCGTGAAGAATTCAGTCATAACCAAATGAGTACCATAGATGGGCAGAGGCAGCCTTTGTTGTAAGGTGTGGGGGGAAGCTGTCTTTTATTAGTTCTGTATTGAGACACCTACAGAAAAAATGTTCCAACTGTTACTTTCTAGCATTGTTTTAAGCAATTCAGGTATTTCAGATTCAGTTTGAATTATTTGGCAGCGTGCTGTTTGAAAAACCACCTTCTTCTTGGTAGATACTTAGTAGTTTCTTGAAGTATTTTCCCATGAAAACAAATACCAGTGCAGCTTGTCATTAGTTAGATACTGTGAATGATTTGCTAGCATTATGTCACTATGCTTCATTACTTTTTCCTTCCATTGGTGCCAAAAATTGATAATTATTCTTAGAATGCTTCAGGAGGGACACTGTCATTGGCTGTCACCAGTAAGAGATTTTGTTTCTTGTAGAAAATGTATTCTGTTCTTCTAATTAGTTACTGTTTTATTTCTATCAAAATCATTGTACAGAAGTCTCATTCCAAGTAAATTTTCAGCTGCACATGACAAAAGTGCATCTCTTTAAGTATACTTGCTGGGTCATGAATGTTTGTCATCTGCACTTGACCTCTAAATCAAAACTATTATCTCTGTATTCTGTCAATAAATACCACTAAAGTAACACCACTTAAGTTTTGCCCTTAAATTGTACCTGTCCTGGTTTTGTTTCCAGTAATTATGAGAGTTGTGAAAGAAAACAGTCCCTTTTGTTTAGAAACTCATCACTGTCAAAGGATAGGAATGAGACAAAGGCCAAAGAAGTTAGTCATAACCAAATGAGTACCATAGATGGGCAGGCATCTAAGCTTTTGATTCTAATAGCTGTTGAATAACAAACATACATACTTCAGAAAAATAGTTGCCTTGTAAATAATGCTGGAAAACTTTGAACTAAAAAATAAAAAAAGAAGAGATTTGCAAGAAAGAAAGATGGAGTGGTTATTCAAGCACTTTGTGGAATGCAGTCACAATAATGACAGTGGAAATGCTTAAATTCACATTACTGAACTTAGTGACTTTCTAAAGATCTGTTTACTTCTTTTAGTCTGTTGAAAAAGAAAGTTTTAGAGATAAGTAGCAATATTTTGGCAAGGTTATTAATAGAAACTGTTATTACTAACTTTTTCTTTTTTGTGTAATTGACTGTTCATTTTATAATGTGCATGTTTATGCTTATATTTTGAAGGTACAGCACTTCAGTGATTTGTAGACATGTTTAACTTGTCATTGCTTTGTAATAATCGAAATTAACTGGTAAATTTGTGGTATTTCTGAGCTTGTGACTTCATATGAATATCCAATTCTTTTGTATTTGAACTTTCATTATTGTAGAAGTGTATGAGTAATTCTTTTGGAACTGTATTTATATGATGTCTAAGAGTTTAACACCATACTCTACAACAAATGGATGTTTTAAAATCGTATGCTTAATACAGTTTAAAAACTAACATAATTAACTTTTTTTTTTTTTTTTTTTTTTTTGAACCTGAGTAATTCTTGGCAAACTTTAATGTGTGTTTTTATAACGTGCTATTTCTGCAGAAATAATTATACTAATGTTGTTGTCTTGTGTGTGTTCCTTGTCTTTTTTCCTCCAGCCTGGCTTGCCTGCTCAGAACTTCTCCATGTCGGTTACAGTTCCAGTGTCCAATCCCAACACTTTAACCTACAGTAACCCAGGGAGTTCCCTCGTATCCCCATCCCTGGCTGCCAGTTCATCGTTAACGGACACGACCATGCTCTCCCCACCTCAGACCACCCTGCATCGGAACGTATCACCTGGGGCCCCTCAGAGACCACCGAGTACTGGCAATGCAGGTGAGATTTCACTGCTCTTGTGCTTTCCTTTTACACACTCTTGTTGGATGTTGATCTGTTGGAATGAGTCCAGAGGAAGCTACGAAGATGTTCTGAGGGCTGGAGCAGCTCTGCTCTGGAGCCAGGCTGAGAGAGCTGGGCTGGTTCAGCCTGGAGATAGGAGGCTCCAGGGAGACCTTAGAGCAGCTTTCAGTGCCTGAAGGAGCTACAAGAAATCTGGAGAGGGGCATTTTACAGAGGCATGTAGTGACAAGAGAAGGGGGAATGGCTTTAAACTGACAGAGGGGAAATTTAGATTAGACATTAGGAAGAAATTCTTTACTACGACAGTGGTGAGGCACTGGCACAGGGTGCCCAGAGAAGCTGTGGCTGCCCCATCCCTGGCAGTGTTCAAGGCCAGGTTGGATGGGGCTTGGAGCAACCTGCTCTAGTGGAAGGGGTTGGAACTAGATGAGCTTTAAGGTCCCTTCCAACCCAAACCATTCTATGATTATAAAAAACCCAAACCAAACACAAGCAGATAAACCCCAAGTAACAAGTTCTTAATGGTGTTGCTGCATTTTCTCTTTTTAAAGGCTTAAGCTTTGGAGTACACAATGATACAGTACTGTATCAGATTAATTTAATGCAAGTTAGTTTAATGCTCTGTTATTTTTCTTAGGTGGAATGATGGGGACCACTGACCTCACAGTGCCAAATGGAGCTGGTACCAGTCCAGTTGGTAAGTGTGGTATCATCTTTTTGCTGAAAAATAGTACTGTGGGATTAGTTTCACAGTCATTCAAAAGCATTTTTTTATTTGGATTCTTGAAAAAGAGGTTGTGGAAGAACAAAAGTCAGAATTCTCTTAGTTGCCTTGCAATTGTTAAATCTTGTAAATTCTTGTCAGGCATTTAACTTTGCTGCCATGCCCTTTCCACTTCAGTAGTATCTGCATTTTTTGTTAGTGGTTTTCAGTAGCAGCACGCCGCTCTTGCTTTTCTGTTTTTCTGTACTAAACTATTACACTAAAGACAACTCGGCTGTGTTCTCAAGCTTAGTATTTGCAAGACCTGATTGTGGTGCCAATCAAAAGGAAGAAAATACAGACTGTATTGTTTGTATTGCCATGTGTATCTTGCTAATCATTTTCTAGCAATTATACAAAGAAAGCAATAAATCTTGGAAGCTCATCGCTAGGTTCTGTCTAAATTTTGGAAGATGATCAGAGTTTCTTTCAAAAACAAATTAGAGATGTTGCCAAAAATCAAATTCACAGTATGTTTTGGTCTTTGGTAAAAAGATATGACAGCACTGTTTCATTTAAATAATATTTTATCTCCCCTACACAAAATCTAGTACTCTGTTAGAGGGCAGCCCCTGAAATTTATCACACCACAGAATGGCAAAATACATGATAGTTCACCCACTTCCATCGTGTTCCTTCCATGCCTTGAGATGTCTTGGTGACTGAAGGTCAGTTGTGCAAATACACATAACTCTCATTGGTATGTGTTTGTAGCAAGAGAAGCAACTGTTGACCTTTCAGTATTTGCCCACTGGCTACTTCGTGTGGCAACTGGGGAAAAGTTCTTTGAAGATGAAGTCAGGCAATTGAATTGATGAATAAAAAATGCCACAACTACAAGGCTGAAAGCACAGAATTGACTTTCCACTCTTTATCCGTTCTTTGGCTATGTGCAGCAAAGATATGAAATATTAAAGAGTGGTTTCCATCAGGTAAGCAAGATTTTAAATGGAGGAAACTTCCTCAGCTGAAAAAAGTTGACTATTTTTAGAAACTGTGGAGGTCAGATGTGGATTTCCATAGCATTTCTCAAGTCAGACTAAATAAGTTTATTATCAGGCTGTTTCAGGCCTCTTTTCCAAAATCAGGCTTTAGTAACAGCACCCTCAGATTTAAGACTCTTGCTTTCAGTAAGCAAATAAAACAGTTGTTTACAGCACTTGCTATAGAATATTAAACTGTAGAAATACCCAGTTAAAGCAGCTTGGTGAACATATTTAATGCCATAAAATGTTTTCCTTCTTGCATTTATTAATAGTTTATGTGAAAAGTCAAAATGCATCACTTATCTCTTACTTTCCAGAACATCGCACCCAAAATGTTACACATATACCCACTCATTTCTAGAAAGATTTTTTTCATACAAGAGTTGTGGCTATGGAAGATGAGTGGAACATCGATAAGTACCACCTTTAGCGACACTCAGCTACCTAGTTAGCACCAGAATACTAAGCCACAGAGTACCCTAAGTTGTCAGAGCTCCACTTTCTACTAGGATATGGCATGACTCCTTTTAAATACTGTCAGGTGCACAGTAACCTTCTCAGTTGCAACCGAAATCAAGAAACCACACATAACCAGATTGGGTAAATCTGCTAACTTGTCAATCTGAGCTTGACAGCTGCCGTTGAAGTGTGTATATCAAGTTAATTATGTCTGCAGACAACAATGGCTTTAGCTTCTTGCTACATTTGTTGTAGAATTCACTTAAAAACCCTGTGTTTTTTTCTTGTAGCTTTCAATCTTTTAAACTTCTCAGGATTGGAGGTTTCTCCTATGGATATAGTTGTGAAAGGGCATGTATCAAATTTGCAGCTCATAATTTATAGGAGAGATGGTGAAGATAAAGATGGAGTATTGGCATATCCATATTCCCAGATATTCTCTTACAGACAAAGGAAAAAGTATCCAAGTCTTACTTGGCATTATGAAGCGTTGAACATTTGAGATTTTGTTCTCATTTCATTCAAAGATACTTACATGCGTTTATCTCTGAATAAAAAGCAAGTAAAGGTTATCTTGCCTAGTTGGGACCCAGTTCAAACAAAGATGTTGCATAAAATGGCTCATATTTAGCTCACATAATTCTTTTTCTCAAGTCCTGTGTAACTTGATTGGAATAGATCTGATTTGCTTTAGCAGTCAATCTGCCAACTTAACAGTTTTTCTGTGGAAAATTGAGTAAAAATATCTGCCTGTTGTAGCAAAGATTGGTAGGTGGGTTTTTTATCTAGAACAGAAAATTTAGTGATTATTTTATAATACTGCGAGCTCACTTCACATGCAGCTGTCATAACTCTGCAAAAGCATTTTTATTTTGTAGTATTTTTAAAACGTTACCCACCACATAAAAACCATCTGCTGAATTTTTTACTTGGCAAGTGTATCAGCTCTGAGAGGGGAGAAAATGTCCGGCATTATGACAGTGTTTGCTTTTGAGCTAATTTATTTTGTCTGTTAATTAGATCCAATGTTTTGCAGCTAGAATTTTCCTGGTACTGTTGCCTGTGGTCAGTGTTAAGCTCTGTTCAGTTTTTGATGGGCACCCAATATGCTTCAAGAATCTCCTATCACCACAATGTGTACACCTTGGTATTTGTTGTCAGCATGATCGTGGCTTGAACACATGCTGCATTTTCATATCCTCCTTTCAAAAGGCTGTGGATTCTAATTAGGCAAAGTACAGCCTCACTTGCTGCAAATACCCAAAGGAGGGGGAGAGTTTCTTTGCCTTTGGACTGAAAGGACTTGATGGATGGACCACATCCAGAGTTGTCACAAGGAGGTCTGCTTCACTGTGTTCCAGCAGAGTCAGTGTTATACCTTGAATCGATCAGAGGTACCAGTGAAGTGCAGTTCCAGTGACAGTATCCCATCCTTGAGGACTCTGAGAATCAGAAGGACTCAAAAGAAGTACCACTGTGAGCCAATCTCTGCTTTCTCTTCCGTATCTTTCATGAGTGGCATCGAGCTAGAACCGTGCAAAGGACCTGACTGGTTTTCATTGCCAAGGCTGCATGAAAACCATAAACCTTGAAACCTTTGTACTGAGATGAGTTCCCTAAGTTCTTCCCAATCCTAAATGATCTCAGTCCTAGATGATTCTGAAAGAGCTGTTGAAAGTAGAGGCTTTTTATGATCTCTCAGAGACAGGATATTATTTGCCCATGTATTTCTTTGTCAGTGAAATAACCATTCTGGCCAGTAATGCAGATTATGGAGCTAGTTAATCTTCTGGGAAATTATCTTTACAATTTTATTATCAGGAACAATGGATAAGAAAGGTCTGGTCTTCTTGAGTAGTGAATTTTTAATCTTTATTCCAGAGCTGTATCTTCTCTGATGTCCTCACTAATCTTCAGATTCTGAGAATGTGAAGTAACTTCAGGAATACTGAATTTCTTTGGAATAAAGCTGTGTCTTGAGACCTGTTGTATCTCTATTAAGAGACAGTCTAGATCATCTGTGATCTGGCCTGAGGACGAATTATGCAGAGGTGCAACTGACAGCTTGCACGCACCTGTAAACTGCTTGTATATTGCCAGAAAGGGATCAAGACAGAGAACTGTGAAGGGCCCCACCTGTAAATGGTTCCCTTTGTCTTGAGGGCTTGGCTGACTGGGAGAGCTTTTTCTGGCCTGTCTGAGGTTAAAAGAATCTTTCAGGTTGGTCTTTCACAAGTCCGAGTCAAATGGCTAATATGCTGCAATTCTGAAGAGTACACCCGAAGGTTTCAATAACAAAACAGCTGTCTGTGCATACCTTTTTAATTGTGTTGTTTTGCTTATTAAATGAGAGACACCCCAATGAGAAGTATCCAGCCAACTCTGGAAAAACATACCTCTTGTAGGAATTTTGCTTGAAACTGGATTGCAGCTATCAGCCTCTTCCTTAAGAAAAGAGACTTTCTTCTCCCTCCACACCCACTGTCAAACTCACCAGCCTGTGTCACCTGCATCAGATAAAATGCTCAGCACTGTTGTAGATGACCACCTTAAGAAAGCAACTTTTACAAGGGCAGGTAGTGACAGGACAAGGGGTAATGGCTTTAAACTGAAAGCAGAGATTTAAATTAGGTATTAGGAAAGAATTTTTCCCTGTGAGGGTGCTGAGGTGCTGGCACAGGGTGCCCAGAGAAGCTGTGGCTGCCCCATCCCTGGCAGTGTTCAAGGCCAGGTTGGACACAGGGGCTTGGAGCAACCTGCTCTAGTGGAAGGTGTCCCTGCCTGTGGCAGGGCTTGGAGCTGGATGAGCTTTAAGGTTCCTTCCAACCCAAACCAGTCGGGGGTTCCATATAATGTCACCTTGCCCAGGATACACCACCACACATCCTCAGATGTTCTAAACACATCACCACTGTCATCCGTCATTTACCATTCTTTGTGTTGGCTTTGTGTGGGTACATAGAAATCAACAAGTTCAGAAAGCCTGATTTCATTAACTGTAAACTGTATAGTTGACAAAAGACCTAAAAGTCATCCAATTACCACTGCTAGCATTTCACACAAAGCTCAGTAACATTTAGATATAGATGCAGTATGCCTTTGTTTTAGGTTTGCTGCTGCATTCTGAATAACAATCCTGGTCGTGAAGAAAGCCCATTTAAATTCCAAATATTCTTGAAAATTGTCTCTCCTTTTATGTAACTTTAGGCAAGGAAAAGAAAGGAAAATATCTCAGCAACCTGGGAAATGAGGGTTTTATTTTAGTTTTCTAACATGAGTAAGCATTCCCTTGACACTTAGTCATGTGTATTTCTTTTTGATGACTTTTAATATCTGAAGTACTGCTTTAGAAGTCTAATTCGTACATGTTAGACATGTTTCAAAATCTTACATTACTGTCAAAGGTATGTTTTAATTCTAATCATAGCATTATCTGAAGTACTGCACTGTAAAGATCAGTGGAAATACATTTATTTCAGCTTCTTTAAGATGTAAATTCTTTCCAAAGCTATCAGAGAACTTAGGCTTGGAAATGATGACAGGATCAGCAGTGATTGCTGTGCAAAGCTGGAGATGGTATGAACGGCATATGCTGGGTTTTGATTGTAGGGGGTTTTATTTTTTATTTAATTTCCACTTAAAGCTGTCATACAAAAAAAAATAAATTGAGCAACTAATGCACATAGAAATGCTGTTGTGTTTACTTGTAACGTGACATTCATTCCCACCAAGATCCTACATGAGAATATTTCTCTTAGGTGGATTTTATCTGGTTCTCTAGACGCACAGTGAATTGATGGCTTATTGCAAACACAATTTTCAGTTTACTTCTAATTACACGACATGTGTTGGGCTGTATGATGTCATTTGAGACATTAGTATTTATTTACTGCTCTTCTTATTTTTGCTTAATCTTATCTTGCTGAGCTGCTTGCCTACAGTTATTTTCCAAATCTGTGTATAACTGTCCAGTTTCTTCGAAGGTGAACCACAAAAAAAGATTAATGGCATCAATGCCTATAATTTATTCTTTGAGTACTAATAAGGACAGGAGCACTTTCCAGCCACGTGTGTTCATTGTTACAGCTGATGTGATTTATATAGTGAAATATGAGTCTGGCTCACGTAATTGAATGCTACATCGAGGGCTGCAGGACAGTAAATGAGATTAAGCTGTATTATGTCTCTGAAGGCAAAATACACAGTTGTTAAAATGGGTGGGTTTTAAGGTTTAGCTTCAGAAAAGAAGTTAGTTTGAAAGTAAACATTTTCTGACCAAGCAAGAAGTAGGCTAATGCACACTGGCATGTTTGTTATCATGAAATCTAATTAAATTATGATTCATATAATTGAGAGCTTATCATCTTTGCATTGGTGTCTGTTTTCCAAAGAAGTGTTTTGAACATGTTTTCATCGTCTGCTTTACAGAATTAGAGATAAATAAAACTGCCAATGGAAGTAAAACCAGTCTTATTTTACACTTACATAGGATTTTATATTCTGTTTCCATCTTTCAGTTTGATAGTGTTTTTAAACATAAAGACATTGTCTTTAGGGAAGATCTATAGTGGGTGGGGTAGTTACAATTTCTGTATCATACAAAATAGTAAGTAGGATTTATGGGGTTATTAAAGCCTCAGTTTGGCAAACAGCCGCATAGTTGCATCATCCTGTAATCATTATCTTCTTCTGGCTCCTGACCTTGCTGTAAGAAATACCATGCTTTTAGTTATCCTTTCACTCTTAGCTTGTAATTTGATTTTCTTATTAGATAATTAACGGGAAAAAAAGGCCTGAAGTTGCATAGTAAGAATGAATATTCCAAACTCTTACTGCAGCCCAGCATATGATTCCTCAGATAATCAATACAGATACTCCAGTGTTTGCTACGTGTTCAGTGTTTGCTATTTATAACAAAGGGCTGCTGTGGGATTGATACCTTTAGTATTGCACACTTAGGACATTTTTTGTTTCTCCTGTTCTTAATACATTCTTTCTAAACACTCACTTTAAGAAATTCTCAGCCTTTTTTCAGAACAAATGCTTTGACTCTGCCCTGCTCCTGAATGATACTGCACAGAGGAGGCAATGGCAAGGAGTTTGTTGTTTTTGACAGCACTTCTAAAAGCATGAAATGTTTCTGAAGGATTGGCAGAGCCTTGTAATAAGGGCTGCAGGAAATGACTGTATTGGGTGTGGAAGAAAGACACTGTCCAGATTTAACACACGAGCTACCGAAATACTTGGAAACAGAGGACAGGAAATGGTATCATAGGATAGACTAAAATGCTGTACAGAACTCCATTGTTTATACAAAGTGTTATTGTCCTGAAGTTTAAATTCAACTCGGAACACCGCAGCTTTGGCATAGAAAAGGTAACACTGACAGCCTTGTGAGTAATAAAATGCTATTTATTATTATTAGATTAAAGCCCAGACTATTTTATAACAGTAAGTTCTTTAAATGTTCTGGCATTTATTTTTTTTTTTTTTTTCTGAAAATGGAAGGTACTGTAAAAATTTCTTAGATGCAATTTGGTGAAAATTATGCTCTTCTCTAATAATTTGAAATCCCATCTGGTTCCAAATCCACTTAATTTTTACTCTGTCCGTTGTGCAAGGTTTCTCCTGTAATCCGATGCTCTGTAGGCTGTCTATAACTCAGTTTACACTCATTAATAATGGATAGGGATTGATGCATAACTGTATTTAACAAAACCATGATTCTATGACAGCTGTCTCGGAGTTTCAGGAACCTTAGGGCTAGCACAGAACTTAATTTCTCTTCTGTGGCTGGTTGGTTTTTCTGTGTGACCTAACTGTGGGTATTTTTTTCTTAGCAGTCCAGAGTATATTTAGCTCTAGTACATATTCTCAGCTCTAGACCGACTTTTCAACCACTTTAACTAAATTTTATCATTAACCTTAGAAGCAGCCTGATAAATTCTGCTGTTTTCTGCTGAGGAATGTAGATGCAATCATGAAATCAATTTCTGCTGTGGTTTTTAATACACAAGGAAGAATGCTGACATAAAAAGCTTTTTCTTTCTTCTGCTGTCTGTGTTCCTTCATTTCCCCATAACTTCTAAGTTAAATTCTCAGAAAATATATTCCCATACCTCTCATACAAACGTTTCAGGAAAGTACTAAATTAGAATAACTCCTCCTTGCTCTGTTAACCTCAAAAAACTCAAGGGACATATCGGATCATCCATGTATGGTCAGGCTTTGGGCACAGTAGGCAATCCACAAAGTAAGTAAATCCAGAATTTGAAATCCTAGCTTTAAAGTTGTGAATTTAGTGCTCATCCATATGTGAATGAGACTGATCTTGTGGTTGCAAATTCCAGTAAGTTCTACCAATTTATGCATTTTTTTCTGTAAAAGTATTTAGCAGTAACTTTGTTTCCAGAAGACCTTTATAAACCTCAGTAGAGTATCTGCACATCAGGACTAGAGCTTCATTGTAATTTGTAGAATCCTAGAATGGTTTGGAATGGAAGGGACCCCAAAGCTCATCCAGTTCCAAACTTCCACTAGAAAGGACACTTTCCACTAGAGCAGGTTGCTCCAAGCCCTGTGTCCAACCTGGCCTTGAACACTGCCAGGGATGGGGCAGCCACAGCTTCTCTGGGTACCTTGTGCCAGCACCTCAGCACCCTCACAGGGAAGAGCTTCTGCCTAATATCTGAATCTCCCCTCTTTCAGTTTAAAGCCATTTAAACTTGTCCTCATCACTACATGCCCTTGTAAATCTTTGCTTTTCCCATTTCTAAATTGATAAAACAAGATGTAGGGTTCCATTGCTGGTGGACAGGGCAGAGATGAAGATTGCATTTGGCAGTTTCCTTGCTGTGTAATGAGGATCAGTAGTAATGGAGGAGGCTCATTACCATCCTGGTGAATTCACACCTACCACGTACACCAGCTGAGTATCTTAGCAGTACCAGTCACCTCCATGAGTGCTGTGTTCTTCATTCTTGCTAAGCTTTTACAGGCATTTGAAATTTTGCTAAAGGAGGTGGAATGTCACACTGACAACTTTCTTATTTTAATTGCTTCCAGATTAATATGTACTTAATGTAATAAAATTGGATTGGGCATAGGGGCCTATTCAAATTAGAATAATAATACAAAATTCATGCCAGTGTGGCGCTATGGGCTATTAGAAGAGAATTTCCCACACAGTGAACTTTGTGTAACAGACTTTTCTCTGAATTGTGACTATAAAGGCTGCTTTCAGAACTGCAATATTAGTATAAACGTAATGGTACTATGAACTATTTATTTATACACACACATACACAAGTTCTGTAGTGTGAACTATAGGGTTCCCTGTTGTGAAATTCTCCTTCCTTAACAACTTTTTTTTTTACAGCTGAATAAGGTGTGTGTATTTTGGGAAATGTTGCTATAAATATGATAAAGTCATTGGAATGTGGCTTTAAATTTTTTCTGAGAAATATATTTTGGTAACATGATTGGTGCTTTTGTCAGTGGAGAACAGAATACTGGCACTTAACTGTTGTACTGTCTTGTTGCTTTTTCCTGATCTGAGTGTGAGTTAAGGTCTGTGTCTTGAGCATATTCAGCTTTTGGAGATTTTCAGTGCTGAAGCCAGGACCTGTAGTCTTTGATGTGTCTAATTCTATTTAGAATGAGTATCAGGAGTAAGGTAGAGAAGGACCAGTGTAAATTAAATTGATGGGCATAAAGGACATGTATATCTGCGTACAGAGCTTGGAATGGATTTGAAGGGAAAGGATTTATCCCCCTCATTGCTAAATATAATAATCAGACGGTGTATATTTTTGAGACTGAAATCAAATTTATTAGAACGTAGATGCTGGAGCCCTGTAGGTCCTGAAGATATTTGGAGAAGACATTTTAGAAATAGAGACTTTAAGAGCTGATATCTTGTATTCTCACAGCAAGAGACAACAATTCAGTATAGTTCGTGTTCTGTGGGGGTGGGGATGGAGTTGTGCAAATCCACAGACTTTTTTCTCAGCCTGGAGGAACTTTAAAGGGTGAAATAAAAAAACACAGCGGATGTTATTAGAAATGGTTCTTGGGCAATGTGCTCTTCTCAGCATTTAAGCAGCCACAGTGTGCCCTTGAAGTGATATTACCTTTACCTATTGATCTTCTGGTGAGAGTGGTTTTTGTCTGTTCGATGATGCAGTACTGCACCTCTTGTGAGAGGTTTGGTTATTGGAAGTTTTACTAAAGAGTTATTTTGTAATTTGTGTTTTGTATTGCTACAAATCTGTATCTGTATTGCTGCTGCTCTTCAGTCTTAGGGGACATTTGTTTTTCCTCTTTCAGGAAATGGGTTTGTGAATTCTCGAGCTTCACCAAGTCTGCTCGGAACTAGTGGTGGTGGGAATGGCTTAGGCAAAGTCATGCCTACAAAGTCTCCTCCTCCACCTGGAGGAGGTAATCTTGGAATGAACAATCGCAAACCCGACCTCCGTGTTGTCATCCCACCCTCCAGCAAGGGTATGATGCCACCACTGGTAAGTGAGAATGTTTGTTCTGTGAGTGGCTTTGTGAAAATGAAGTGTTCTGTTCACTATCTCATCTGCTTACCATGGGTTACAGTAATAGAAAGGTGGTTGTATTCTGAAATTGCACTGATGAAAAACCTAAATTATAAGTTGTTACCTTGGGAGAAGTTAAATTTGTAAGGGATTTTTTTTATTTAAAGTATATAATAGTTTGACCAACCTGAATGGGGTTAGAGTGCAATCCTAGAGACGTAGGTTGGATTTTGTTGGTTTTACTTTACATCTCACTCAGCTGGTACCGAGAACTCTGTTGGTTTGGAGGATGTGGGTTTTCAAAAAGGGTTATGCATTATTTTGTGGAGGAATGGCTGATCTCACTGGTGAAGTGAACTATATTAATGTGCCCTAAAGCACACTTTGTACCTGTCTGTCCTCAGCCGTAATGGTTGTGGGATATAAAATGTAGCTTCAGTGGTAAGGACGGTGTGAGAGAAACTCGTTTGATGTGGTGTGCTGGAATGCAACCTTGTGTGTCCGTGGTGGATGTCATGTCCTCAATGCAGGCATGAAAGAGTAATGAGGATCAGGTTCAGTCCCTATTTGTGTACTTTCCAATCCTACTGTGCAGTTTGGCATGTTGGTAGTAATGTTTGTTCAGCCTAGATTCAGAATAGCACACAAGTTTCGTGTCAGGCATGAGGCAACCACTGCACTGAGACCAGAACAGGTCTTTCAGGAAGAGTTACTCTATTTTTCCTTTGATTTGGTTGGCCAGAGCCTTTGGTCTTAATCCTTCACTGTCATGTAGAAATCTTAAACGTCTCTGTGTACATTTTCTGTTTTCTGTGTATGGAAGAATGAACCCTGACCAAGAGGAGCAGGATATAAACAATACAAGTACTCTCTGTGTAGTTAGTTCTTATTTGTTTTTAAGATACCACAAGTGCTTATATTTGTTACTGGTATTCACAATGAATAATACAAAATTAATCCAAGTAACAAAAGCTGTAATTATCCACAGAGTAATGATTCCTGAAGTTTCAGGTTTTTCTAGGAATGCTGAAGTGTAGAAGAGCTCGGAAATACTCTGGCTGGTTATTAAAGTGAAAATTACACTTTGAAACTAATTAGAAATAGATACAAGAAGAGGATCTTGTTAATGCAGCTGTTCTAACATCAGTAGTGCACAGTACCTCTTCACTGTTGTGCTGTTAAGAACAACATAATATTCAATACAGGTTTTGCCTGCTTTTTTATGGAATTTGGAAAGAGATTCCAGCGTAGAGGTGCTGGGATGGTTGTATGTAAAAAATACTTAGTTACTGAGCTGGATGTTTATTGGATCAGTCCTGCCAGAAGCTGCTGTGCTCCACATCCACATGTCAGTGCGTAGCTGTGTCCTTGTTTTTGCTAAGCTCTTTCTACACCCTTTCAGTATGGTATTTTTTAATTGATCCAAATTACATAAATTATCATAACCTCTTAGTAGTATTACTTGCAGAATCAGGTGGCCAATTCACATTATTAATTAAAATGAATAAAAATCCTGAAGCACAAACATGACTTTTTCTTTAATTTTTGAAAGCAATGCTATTTTTAGTAACTGTGTTATCCCTCTTGTTTGCTGAGTACAGTCGGAGGAGGATGAATTGGAGTTGGTGAGTTTGGGCTACTGTTTGATGAGAGCCAGCAAGACGCTGCAAATGCCTTTTACTACAGCTCTCTAACTGTAGTTTCATTACATATTTTAAATAATTCCAGTGTTCCCTTGGTAGCAGACAAAAATACATTTGTTTTATCAAACTCAAATCCCAACCAATTCAAGTTGAAAACCCATCCAAAGTCTAGTGCTTTCCATTTGAAAAGTTCTGGGGTATTTTGTCCTGAAAATCTGTTTTTCTTGGAGGGAACATTGGAAAAGAGCCTTACAGAGTAACTGTCCATGTGTATAGGATATTTACTGTCCTTTGTGTAAAATATAAATAACCACTTATCATCCCCTAAATTACTGGCATATTTTTAGAAGGTGGCTTCACTCCTGAAGTTGTTCAGATTGTAACACAAGCCCTGTGTTACTTCTCTTATTTTCAAGGAGATTACGTCATTGCTGGTGAGGTCACCTTCTTGGAGTTAAGAATTATTTCATCCTGCGTGAGATTATCAAACCACAGGGGTGTTCCCTGTTTACCAAAAGGAATAGAAAATCACAAATGAATAATTCTACCTTTTTTTCCAGTGGAAAGATATTCTGCTTTGGAAAGGAAGCTCCTGGGATTTGTGTTTTTTCTATTTTTTCCCAAAAGGTTTTAACATTTGGCATTCTGTCTGGAAAATGGACGTAAGGCTAAAATCATTTGTAACTTATTTTTAGAGCCATTTTCAAATTGTTTAGCTGCTGTAGCACAAACCATGCAGAAGATGGTGCAACTGTAGAAATACACAGTCTGCCTAGTGCATACCTTGATTTGTTTTTGAACATGGACCTGTTGCTAATATGAGGCTCTAATTGCATGAAAGCATGGAAAACGTAGTGATTTAGATCAATTTCTTGATGAATGCATGCGGTTGGTTGACTTTTTTACCTTAAACATGAACAATGGATTTACTAAAGCAAAGGGAAATGATTTTTCAAAGTCAGTATTGAAGTTTTTAAGGTTTATTGGGATGATTTGCTAATTGAGCAGTTGAACAGCTGCCACGCACGTTCTTCTCGCCTTTATAGAGAAGTGTCTGGTTTCCAGTACAAGACATAAAGCTCTAATTCAGTGTAAAATCACTTAAAGTATCTTTGCAACTGGAATTAATGCAAAATCCCTTCAATTAAGGTATTTGTACCTGCTAAGAACTGCTGTGCTCTTTGCAGCGTTACAGATTGGGCGAGTTGGTTTATGGCTCCTGTGTGGAGCGTGGTCCCTCTAGTGGTGTTACAGACTGGGCTCAGCCCTTAGGGGAAGAAGGCTCACACAAAGAAAATGTACTATGGTCTTCCTCAAACGTGGTAGAGAAATAGGAAGTACACCTGCAGAGTTACGTCTCTTATCCTGCTAATTTGGGATGCTGATTCCAGTGCTGGAAAGCGGTTCCAAATCACGTCTGTGAACGTGGGGTTGGAACTGAGCACTGAATATGAAAACCAGATATGAACAGTAGCATGGCATGAAATAGAGATACTGAATCCCTCCTGGTCCTGCCATCATTTGCACCAGGGTAAAAAGTAATCTAAAAAATTCCTGAAATTTGTCATGGATCTTTGGCTGAGTCTCTGCTACAACCAATATCAGACACATCCAAGTATTCCTTAGTGCGTTTGTATGGCTGAGTGTTCAAGGATTATATTCAGAAATAAATTACCTCAGAAACACCCCTTCATTAGCCACTCAAAAAGAAAAAATCCCATGGGGAAATCCTTCGGTCTGGATTGTTTCCCAATATACTCCTCTTAACTTTTCCATTATACAGTAATCCCAACTTTATAGGCCGCCATCCAAGAAAGCTTTGGAAAAAGGTCAATTCCTGGCAGACACAAAAAATCTGCTCTAATAACATATCTTTATGCCAGATAAACTTGGTCTAGAGGAGATTTTCAGAAGTACGTAAGTGATTTAAAGGGATAAGTTACACAGAAAATCAGTGGGATTGATTTTTTTGTCAGCCAGACAAAAGGGGGATGAGAACCTGGTAGCCAGTGGAAGCTTGTGGCTAGTTTTAATATGGTAGCTGTGGTATATGTTTCTTCCTTTTAACTGGGAAGATAGAAGCCAAGGATTGATAATCCTCAATTCATCTTCACAAGTTTAAGCTTGAAATTGAATACAGCCCTGTTTGGGTACCCGCTCATTCTGTTCTTACAAAGGGCATCAGGCATTTTTAATACTGCTCACTCGCTCAGGATCACAGTGGAGACAAAAACGAAGTACTGCAGCTCCCGAAATACTTGTTTCTCTTTCCAAAATAAAGAAAAAGTAGTAGGAGCTTCAATCTTTAAAGCCAGGAAGCGGCACTCTACCAAAGAGGTGAAAACCTGCTGCTTTTGTAGCGGGTATTTTTTCAGAGAGAGGGGCTTGCTTTAGAACTGTGTTTTCAGCAGTTTGAAATCCAGCTCCCTTAATCGGGAACTGATCTGTAAGAATGTAGGAACACAGGGTGCAGAGACTTGGAACACCTCTAAGGCTTCAGTAGGTGAAACTGAGCATCTGTTGTTTAAAAATAATAATAAAAGAATGTAGCATTTCCTGATACTGGCAGTGGCTGTGCAGCAGAATGGTGCTGAGCTGCACGCTTGGAAGGACGATTTACAGTTGCTGCCATGAGGAGTCGTACGTTCTGTGACAGAGCAGCTTTGCTGCCTGGTGATATTCCCACCGTGATCAACACAAGGTTTTCCAAACAGCAGATTTGGTTAAAGAGCTTAATTTGGGTGATAGGGTTCCTACAGATGTTCATTCCAGTGTATGAGAAAGACAGGCTGTTATTAACAGCCACATTGTGCCCACAGTTAGATAACCTAGTTGAGCTGTTTTTCCAGTCAAAAAGCACAGTTGCTCCATGTGAACTCAAATGTCATTTGCCTTGAAACAAATCTGCATTATAGCCAGTTCTTCCTCACTTTCTCAGGAACCATGGGAACAGTGAGATTATTTTATCACTGAAGTCTTATCCACACAAATGCAGGAGATCCCTGTGTTCCGCTCAGGACAGGTGTAGTCAGCTCAGTGTTAAAACTGGCAGCAAAAATGGTGACACTGGGGTAAACACCTGGGAAGTGGGAGGCTTCTGGTGGAACTGCCCCCCGCCCCCCATCTGCACTAAAACCTCTTTGACTAAAAACTCCTAAATCACTTAAGAGCTTCTCAGAATTGTTGTGTGTATCCTTAAGAAACTGCATTTATTTTTGTGTCCCACAACTCTAACACTTGACATCTGCATGCAAGGGAAGCAGCCCCGTGAGTCTCCGTTAATTTTTCATTTCAGTTTGCCAACATCATTTTGGTTGTCTTGAATGCTTTGGCCTGGTTAGAAAATCTACCCTGGTGTATTTGTAACTCAAAAATAAAGCAAAGAAACACATTTTAATTGAATGCTATTTTTATGTTAGCGCTTGATTTTCCATTGTTCTGATATCACAAGACATGTTGTTATTTTTAATCATTTGTAGAATACCCAAAGGATAAGTAGTTCTCAGTCTACACAGCCTCTTGCTACCCCTGTGGTGTCTGTGACAACTCCAAGCTTGCCTCCGCAGGGACTGGTGTACTCGGCCATGCCTACTGCCTACAACACTGGTAAGCTTGTTTCTATGAAGTGGCTTCATTTGTCAGATGTACAAGGCTTTTGTGATTCATAAGCCCTGAAAATTTGCATTTCTGTGACACTTTATTTTCCTCTTCAGTGCAAATGAAGGCTCTTATTCATCAGAAATGAGCCTTTAGGTTGTAAAATGTGTAAATGTTGAGACTTGCATCAGGAAGAAGCTTTCAGTCAGGTTGCACAAAGACAGACACAATACGGTGCATTGATTACAGCAGCAGAACTCAAGCTGCCCATCTGGGAACTGAAGGGCCTCACATTTAAGCAGTAGTTGATTCTTCAGGGTGTACTGTCCCTCTCATTCTGCTCTGCTTGGTTCCAACAGCAGGAGGCAATTGGGTTCTGTTGGGGCTTTCAGTTTCCAAAAGAGCCCAGTTAGGGCCTTGTCCTCTTCAGTGCTTATATCAGGAGTGTGGTGGGCATTCACGGGAAGGCACTGTCAGCATTTCACCATTGCTGTCGTCTCCAGCAACTGAAGGACTTTAAAACTACTTTTTACCCAAGATGGGTGAGATGTGAGGAATTGGTCATGTAAGTGGTAACTGGTTTGCCAGTTTGGAAAGTAAGTCATGATGTTGTGCCTCCTGCTTGGTCTCCATACCAACAGAGATAGTTTTGACTTCAGCCTCAAGATTATTTATTACAGACCCCGTGTGTAATGGTGATGATAATGCATTTAAGAATGGGTAAAAACCACTGCACTGGTCTGTTGTCAGTGACTTTATGCTCTTACTCCTGTGCAAAGGTCAGGACAACACCAAAAAACCCTCCAAGGTTTGTAAGAAATGGCCAAACCCTGAGTAATCCAGAGGTTTTGTAATCTTTGATTTACAGGGAGGTTTGCCATCAGGAGAGTCTGTAACGTTGGAAGATAGAGCAACCTTCCTTTGGAATAATTTCCTCCCCCAAATGATGGGGTTTTACACATTTTCTCCACTTCTTTAGTTTAGACTCAGAGCCACCTCCCAGCCAAACAGCTCCCATCTTCTTGTATGTGTGTCTTCTTGTATTCATGTGCTCACTGAGGTTTATTATCCACGAGCTGCTCCCTGCGTTTTCCTGCCTTGGAGGTGCTGCCCCAGCACCTACTGCCCTGCGTGGGTTTGGGTTTGGAGAGCAGCAGCAGTGAGGAGTTACACTGTGCTAGCACCCAGCTAAATGGCTGAGCGTTTGTGCAGTCACTACCCTGAAAGGGGGAAAGTCTGAGGAAAGGGATGAAAGAGAAGAGGGGTTGCAGTAACGGTACAATGAGAGGAGTGAGGAATTGTGCTTGGCGACTTCTTTTGGATGATAAACTTAAGTACGAAGTTGCTGGACATACTGATCTGGTTTGATACTTGCCATAAAGATCTACGTATTGCATTTAATGGCTGTTTAAAGTGAACAAATAGTTCTCAGAAGTCCCCCATTGAGGTTTACCCATCACCTGACAAATCCCTTCACTTTCTGGCGCAGTCTGGCCTTGTTTCAGGACGCGGTGTTGTGTGTGTCCCTCACCCAAACCCGCCTGGAAGCTGAGGGCTAAACCAGGCTAAAACACCAACAAGATGAGAGGCTACAGGCTGAACCTTGGGAAGCAGCAAAACAATTAAAACTGGTGCCCTACACAACGGAGAACTGCCGTTATCACTGGGATATGACTGTAAAAAGCAGCCCATTTCCTTTGATTATGCAGTAATTTGTGAAAAGCTTTTAGCTTTCAGACACTTTAAAATCGTTTCTATTAGATTGAGCCTTTCAGGGGATTTGCAGAAAGAAATTTGATGTTGAAACCAAATTGTCGTGTGGGTGTTCTCGGGGCAGTCACCACTTGGTAGCAATCTCAGTTCTGCAGTTCAAGGACTAAGATAAAATTCAGATACTTAAATTGTTTTTCTGGATTGGTAGGGTTTGGGTTTGTTTTTTTCCCAGGGCTGGAAGGGGTAGGTTGATTTCTCGGATCTGTAATTAAGATGTTGGATGTGAGTTTTGCTATTTTATATAAGTTGTTTTGCTCGGGAAGCATTCTTTCTGCAGATTGCTGGAGGAAGAGCCAGAACAGAGTTACTCGTTCTGAAACAGCCTGGGCATTTCTGAGAAGTATCCAAACCCCACAGAATCAGTTAAACAGTAACTTACACTTGAGCAGAGCCATAAATCATACTGCTGGCTGTAGGTCAGGTATTTTGCAAGGCACAGACGTCAAAGGTACGGTGTAGCTGGAGGTGGCAGCAGCAGGTTCCACCATGTAGAAGCTCTGCTCTGTCTGTACAACTTCTCCATCTTGCCTCAAATCACTCGTATAGGAATTAGTGTCCTGCTTTATGGATTATCTATGATTATCTAGGGAAATGAGAACTGTGAAGTGGCACAGGTATGCTTTGGAAAAGTATCTCCTCCAGCCCCTGCCATCAGGCAGAGTCTGTCGAAAGCACCAGAAGTTAATCGTCTATTATCATAAAAGCTTTAATTGCAAAGAAATACACACATGGAAACTGAACTCCCATCAACACTTTCTCCAGGTCTGCGCCTACAGAATCCCAGTGGCACAGAAGAGCACATTCATCACTGCCACACTTGCAGGTTGTCACAGGGCTGGCTGCTTGAAGGCTGAGTGTGTGTCCTGGGCATTGGAGGCCTGTATTTGGTTTAGTTTAGTTTTAGTTTTTATTTCAGTCCTGCAGAGGATCTCGGGGGAAAATCTTCATGAATCTGCAGCTTTCTCAGAGCTCCAATAAAAATGTTAACCGAGAAGAAATGAAACCAAAAGGGAGCTGAAGCAGCGTCACCTGCCAGGGGCAGCTGGGAGCTCCGAGGCCTTGTGGCAGGGTCTTCTGGTGGTGCACATCCATCGCCGCAGGGCACAAGAAGCACCCGTGGGCTCGGGGCTCTCCCTCAGCTCCAGGCTGTAGGAAGGGAAACCTCAAAGTCATCCACAGCAAACAAGGTGGTGGATGGGAACAGGGAACTTGTTCGGGAAAGCTTATCTTGAGGGAGATAAATTATAATCGTGGTGTCATTTTAGGACAATACTAACAC